GAGCTAACTTTAAAGGTTGTTTAAAAAATAAGTCTGCCTTTTAATCAGGCCAAATCTGACAATTCAATACAGCAAACATTGGATCAATTAAATAATTTTTATTCTGTGCACAGAATAATGGCTAGAGAAAAGTGTTTTAAAAATCCAGTTAGTGTTTTTCTTAATTCTGCAATTTATGGTAACTATGCTTGACTACATTTTTAGTTCTTGTCATAGCATGTGCATGTGTGTTACCTATATATAGACCAGATAATTTCTTTATTTTTATGTTAATTTCTTATTTGAAATTAAAACTAATAGAAATCTGCCAACTTTTAAAAAATTAAACTGTTGAGTAAATATAGTTCTTTTTCTACTAGATGGTAAACTTTTTGTAAAATTTAATCTAAGTTCTGTACACATAGTAGGCTCTTGGAAAATGTTGGTTGAATTAAGTTAAAACTGCAAAAAATTTTTAGGTTTTGTAATTAATGTATCTGTAATTTTTGCATTTTTAGGACAGTTCATTGCTTGCCTTTGCCAAGTTTATAAATTGAATTTTTTTTGTTTAAAAAGTAAAAGGTCTTACAGAGAATAATTTCTGTCTTCCAAATTTAAAATTATAATTTGGGGTTCTAATAAAAGTTGCCATTAATGAATATTCTCTCAAGTTTATAGTAAAACTATAAACTGGTCCTCAGACAAAGTGTGCTGATTTTGGAATTCATCAACTAACCACTATATTGTATGGTTTGGTCACATTCAATCTTAATTGTTTTTTGTTGTTGTTTTATGTTGTCTCTCTAGCCAGTTACCTGTCTTTGTTTTTGCAATATATGACTCCTTTGTAATATGTCTTTGGTGGGGGGTAGGGGGGTGGGGATGGTGGTACTGGAAGCCACTCCACCAGCCCTGTTTTGTGTTGGGTATTTTTGAGATAGGGACTCTGAACTATTTGCCCAGACTGGCTTCGAACCTCAGTCCTGCGCTCTTGTCTCCTGAGTAGCTACGATTACAGGCGTGAGCCACTGGCACCCAGCCTCCAGTATAAGTCTTTTTACAAGTTATTTTTCCTTTGGTACTGAGGCTAGGGTATACTGTGGTTACAACTGAAATGTTATTGCAATAGCTTTACAAAGCAATATACATTCCTTGAAAATAATGCTGCATGTAAAAAGCCAGTCCCAAAAGGATGTATATATATGGGGTTGGAAATGTGGTTCATGTGATAGGGTGCTGGCCTAGGTCCTGAGTTCTTACCCCAGGACCACGAAAAAAAAAAAAAAAAGTGTGTGTGTATACATACAAACGCACTGCATGATTCTACTGATTTGACGTACCTGAAAAATAATTAGAGAGACAAAAAATTAACAGAAAAAAAATTAAAGAGAGAGATAGAGATTAGTAGTTGCCAGGGTTCTCACATGGGGGAAGAGGAACGATGTGCTGCCCTACAAAAGGGTAGCACAAAGGAGTGATGATGATACAATTAAATATCTTAATTGTTAAATGAAGCTACAGATGTTATAAAATAGGATAGGGGGAGCTGGGTGTGGTAGTATGGTGGTGTGCACCTTTTATTCCAGCACTTGGGGCTGGGTGCAGGTTGAATCACAAGTTTGAGGCCAGCTGGGGCTGCATAGCAAGACCCTGCCTCCCCTGCCCCTAAAAAAAAAAAAAAAAAAAAGGCCTAGTGCAGGTGGTTCACACCTACAATCCTAGTTGCTTGGAAGGCTGAGATCATGACGATCAGAGCTTGAGGCCAGCCTAAGCAAATAGTTTGTGAGACCCTCCTCTCCAAAATAACAAATAGCAAAATGGACTGGAGGTGTGACTCAGGTGCTAGAGTGCCTGCTTTGCAAGCATGAAGCACTGAGTTCAAACCTCAGTCCCACCAAAAGAAAAAAAAAGACTATTTAGGTCTATTGCTCATTTTTAAATTGGATTATATGGGGGTTTTGTGCTATTGAGTAGAGTTCCTTATGTATTCTGTTCTTTGTTTTGGTGGTACTGGGGTTTGAATGCAGGGCCTTACACTTGCCAGATAGGTGCTCTATCGCTTGAACCACTCTGCCAACTGTATTCTGCATATTAACTCCTTGCCAGATGTATAGTGCATGTTATGTTCTCCTATTCTGCTTTTCAGTGTGACACAATTCCATTTGTCCATTTTTGTTTTGCTCCCTGTGCTTTGGGGATCATAGTCTAGAAAAAAAACTGTGTTTTCTTCTAGTAGTTGCACAGATTCAGGTCTTACATCTAAGTCTTCAATCCTTTTAAGTTGATTTTTTATTAATATGATGCGAGAGGGGGATCTAGCTTCATTGTTTTGCCATGTGGATATCCACTTTTCCCAGCCTCATTTATTGAAGAGATTGTCCTTTCTCTAGTGTGTGTTCTTAGCATGTTTGTTGAAGATCAGTTGGCTATAGATGTGTTCCATTAGCCTATGTGTCTTTTCATGCTGGTACATGTAGTTTCACTTTATAGTGTGTTTTGAGATCATATAACATAATGTTATAATGTCTCCTGCTTTATTCTTTTTGCTGAAGATCGTTTTGGCTATTGGAGTTGTGTAGGGTTTGTGTGTTTATATAGGTGTGGTTCCATATAAATTTTAGGATTGTTCTTTATAGTCCTGTGAAGAATGTCATTGGTATATTGATAAAGATTGCTTTTGAATCTATATAGATACTTTTGGTAGTATGGACGTTGTTTTTTTGTTGGTGGGACTGGAGTTTGAACTCAGGTCTTCATGCTTGCAAAAGCAGGCACGCTGCCAGTCCATTTTTCTCCTGTTTTGGAGATGAGGTCTCACAAACTATTTGCCTGGGCTGGCCTTGAACTTCTTGGTCTCAACATCCCAAGTAGCTACATTTACATGTGTGACCCACTGGCACGTGATTGGTAGTATGGACATTTTAATAATACCAATTCTTCCAATGTATAAGAATAGGATGTCTTTCCACTTTTGTGGCCTTTTCATTTCTTTTATCAGTGTTTCATAGCTTTCATTGTAGAGGTTGCTTACCTCTTTGATTAAATTCATTCCTAACTTTTTGTTTGTAGTTATTGTAAATGGAATTGATTACTATATTTCTTTCTCAGATAATTGATTATTGATGTATAGAAACACTACTCATTTTTATTATAAGATCATAGCATATGCAAACAGTGACAATTTGACTTTTTTTTTTTTCTCCCAATTTTGATGCCCTTTGTTTTTTGTCTGCGTGCTCTGGCTCGGTCTTCCTGGTAGTTTTGCTTTTAATTTCTTTAGGAATTTCCATACTGTTTTTCACAGTGGCTGTTAAAATCTACATTCCTGCCGCCAGTGTACAAAGGATCCCTTTTCTCTTGGCCAACATTTGCTGTTTTCTGGCTTTTTGATAGTAGCCATCCTGATGGGCAGCAAGTGATATAAGTGAATTTTTTGTTGTTGCTGTTTCATAAGTGATTTTTATTTGCAAATTTTCTGATGAATAAACATTTTTCCTTAAGTATATTTTAACTATTTCTTTTCATAGTCTTAACTTTTGTCCACATGATTGCTACTTCCTTTTGCATTCTTTTAAATTTCTTTTCTTTAACTTTACCACTCCTTTTGGTTTTTGAGACAGGAACTCGCATATCAGGCTGGCCTCAAATTTGCAATCCTTCTGCTTCCAGCCTCCAAAGTGCTAGGGTTCACACCTGGCTACATTTCCATTTTTTGTTTTGTTTTGATGGTACTGGGGCTTGTATTCAGGACCTCACACCTGCTAGGCAGGCACTCTACCACTTGAGCCGTGCCATCCCTTTTTGTATTGGGTATTTTTGAGATAGGATCTTATAGACTTTGCCTGGGGTGGCCTCGAACCCCATTTCTCCTGATCTCTGCCTCTTGAGTAGCTAGAATTACAGGCATGAGCCACCAGCACCTGGCAATTTCTGTTCTTTTTGATCTGGGTCTAATGTCATATCTCTCTTGGGAAGGTTTTCATTTTCTCTTCTTTCTTTTTCTGAGACAGGGATGTGCTTTGTAGCCCAGGCTATCCTTAAACTTTCTATGTAGCCCCAGCTGGCCTCACAGTCTTCCTGCTTTAGACTCCTGAGTGCTGTGATTACAGGCATGTACCACAACACAACTTGGAAAGACTTTCTTGATTTCTCATACATCAATCATCTTCTCTGCTGGGGGCTCCCACATTCCTTTGTTTATCCCTTTATTATGTTGCTTATCACATTTATATTATTGTTTCTTTATTTGTCTTCCCTTTCATACCATTTATCTCTCAAGGACAGGGTGTTTTTGATATTGACCCTTAGGAACTAGAATAATGCCTTCCTGGTTTGAAAGATTTTTTTAGTACTTTTTTTTTTTTTTTTTTTGCAGTACTGGGGTTTGAACTCAGGGCCTACACTTTGAGCCACTCCACCAGCCTGTTTTCTGTGAAGGGTTTTTTGAGGTAAGGTATCGGAAACTGTACCCAGGCTGGCTTCAAACCATGATCCTTCTGATCTGTGCCTCCTGAGTATCTAGGATTACAGGTGTGAGCTACTGGTGCCCGGCAGTGCATATTTTTTAAAATGATTATAGCCACAGATAATTCTTGCTGCCTGTAAGCCGTATGCATAAAGAGCTTGATGAGAGGTTGATAAGCAGTGCCAAATAGTAAAATGTGCTTTTTGTTGCTGGGATTCATGCCATTGTAGTGTTAAAAGGTACCTAAAATATTGTCTAGTCTTTCCCATATAACACACATGCTCACATACATACACTTACATGTGCATACAAAGCAAATTGAAATCCATAGAGGTTGAATGACTTAATGATGAAGTTAGGACTAAAAACCCATGTCTCCTCATTTTTTGTTGTGTTATTTTCTCTTATACTTCACAATCTATTTTGATGAATTACAATAGAAATTCATTTTGTTATCTAAAGTTTAGGGGAAAGTTCTTGTTATTATCTTCCTGCTTTTAACTGTAAAAGGAAATTTAAATTGGTTTAAACAATGCCAAATTTTTCTGCTTTACAGACCTCCGTGAGCGAAAGCCTTCAGAGGGAAGCTGCTAAGAAACAGGCCATGAAACAGGTAAGCAGGTAAGAGGGATCAGGAAAGCAAGTGGCAGTTAGTGAAGTAAATATTTTGGCTTGTTTTTGGATGTCAGAGAGAGAGAGAGAGAGAATGTGTGTGTGTTTGTGTGTGTATAATTTTATCCTGGCTCTTGTTTTCTAAAAATGTGTAAAAATGTTTCAATTTATATAAATTACAAAATTTCCTTTATAAATTTTAAAGGAAAAACAGTGAAGAACTAGCTCTTTATTTCTGGCCGTGGATTAAATCAGTTCTGCTTTCAGATGACTTAGTAGTTTGACTACTGACTTTGTCTGATTTGGCTTATTGTTATTTGTTTTTTATTAAATTCAGTTCTTGAGCTTTCTTGTCAAAAAAAAAATCTGTTCATCAAAATGATTTCACAATCTTACAATTATTTAGAATTAATTTATCAAGAAAGGAGAGATCAGTAATTTTTAATAGTCCTACTTAAGGAAAACCTTAAGGTTTTCCTACTAAGGAAAAACCTTAGTTTTTCCAAGCAGTTTTTACATACATATATTATCTTTTAAATTCTCACAAGCCTGCCCATGGTCCTAATTAAGAAATGACAGATAAATTGCCCCTATCATGACACAAGGAATCCTAGAACTAGATCTAAATGTTTACTGATTTTCACTTCTATAGTAGTAAGTATATCCTAGACTTCATTGGTGCTGAACATAATGAAGTGAAACAATGTAATATCTTACATTTTCTCTCTTATAGTTGGCTTGGATATTAGGGAGTGCTGCTATAACTGACTGCTGCTGCTTATTTTTCCACCTATGCTACCTCTTTTTTCTTATTCTCCACTTGGTTGAGTCACATCATATCTTCTGCTGTAATCCCAAACTGTTAGCAAAAAGAATGCTAATCAAACTAACATTCTTTGTTTTCATAGTACTGGGGTTTGAACTCAGGGCCTCATCCTTGCTAGGTATGCACCCTACCATTTGAGCCACTCCCCCAGCCCTTTTTTTGTGTTCGGTGTTTTTGAGATGGGGTCTCTCAAACTATTTTGCCCAGGCTGGCCTTGAACCTATATATTCCTAATCTCTGCCTCCTGAGTCACTAGGATTTACAGGTGTGAGCTACTAGCACCCAGCCAAACTAACATTCTAGCATTTACTAAATCCTAAAGAAAATACTTTTAGGAATTGGATGCTTTTTCTTTTTCCTTTTAATTGCACCTTAAGTGCACAGAACTGATGGCAGCATTATTGTCTTGCTACCCATTTCATTGGAAAAAACTTTCAGTATGCCACAATTAAATAAATATTTGCCATAGGTTTTTGGTAGATATTAATTGTTAAACCAAAGTTTTTTTCTAGTCTAAATTTGAAGTTTTGCTTGTTGCTATTTCTTGTAAGATCATGAGTGCACAATATTAAAAAGGATGATAATGACTGTTGGATTCATACTAAAAATGGTAAAGTTTTGACAGTACCAAGGATTGTTGAGTCTTACATTATTCTGTTCAAAATCTTTTCTAATTTCCATTATTTGTTTGATTTTTTTTTTTTAACTGCTAGGGATCAAAACCCAGGGTCAAGCCACAAAACATACGGATGGCTTTTGTTACTGTGTCACTGATTTCTAGCATGATTGTTTTGCATTCCAGGACCTTGCACTGTTGTATTATGCCATGTCTTTGAGATGTGTTGATTTATTTATGGTCCAGTATATGGTCAGTTTTTACAGTATTCCCTCTGTGCTTGAAAAATGTTGCATATGAGTCCATTAGGCCAGTTAACTGATTTTTTTCTGTGCCTTTACTGGAAGTCATATGCTAAAGTCTCCCACTATGTTCGTGGATTTATCTATTTTCCCTTAGATAACACTTCAGTTTTTGCTTATGTATTTTGAGACATAAGTTAACAAGATAACTACTCAAATTTACCCCTTGGCATCTCTCCTGTCACAAATACAAAGGCTGTCATCAGTTTAAAACAGTCTTCAGCCTCTCTTTTCTTCTGGGATTTTTTTTTTTTTTTATGGCCGTAATTATTATTTCTTAGATACCATATTTCCCTCTTTTGATTCTCCCAGCTGGTTTGGGGAGGGAAGGAGCAGCAGTGTCATTTCTATTTAGATAGGAAAAATCATTGGTTTTGTAATGTTGAGAAGTGAAGGAAAAAATTTCTTAGTGCTTTTAACAATAATTCAGAAAAAAGGTTTTTCAGTTAGTGTGTGTATTATTCCATAGACTAAGTATAATGTACAGAAACCTGAGACTACCAGGTGGGTTATTTTGAATAATTATATCACCCTATCACTTTAAAATGATCCCTGTTGTGTTCTACATTGCATTAGGGATTGTAGTTCAACAAAAAGTCAAACTATGTAGACTCTGTGCCTCAAAAAATGTATAAGCTGGAAGAGACTAAGATTTGTGAAACAATAAGAAAATAATATTTAACTAAGAGTTAAATATTGCAGAATAGAATGTTCCATTAGCATTCAAAAGAAAGAGATCATTGTGGGTTATAGCCTTCAGAGATGGCCTGGTTTAAGATGTAGGGGATGAACTGTCCCTGAATATCTTGAAACTTTGATGTCCTGAAAAAGGAGAAAGGACATTTAAGATAGAAGGAACATGATGAAGGCAGAATACTGTACATGACTGATACTGCAAAAAATAATTCTAAAATATTTATTTTAATACTAGGTTGGGAACTTTTTTTAATGTTAGAAACTTTTAATAAAGTATTTCCTATGATTATACATTTGAAAATTAAACATTTTATTTGGAAAGTTGAGTTATTTAAGGTGATATGAGTATCTACTGTACAATACGGGTATTTCAAAACCAGAGTACTATGTTTCTCAGTCATACCTTGTACCTTTTTGCCTTTTGATGTAGATAGATAATTTGAAATGAATGCACAATGATGTAGTTAATGTTTATTGAATACTTATTCCCTGTTAGTCTCTGTTTTAGGTATTTTAAGTTTATAGTTACCACAACTTGGAAGGTAGAAAATTAAGACAAGATTAAACAAACTTGCCCAAAGTTAAGTCACTATAAAGCGAGAATTCAAACCCTAGTACACTGGCTGCTGAATTTACATTCATATTTTCTATCCAAAATGTGATTGATGCTATTTTTATGAACTAGTTCCAATTTACGAACCTTTCTCCAAAAAAAAAAAACCAGACTTTTGGTGGTATCTGTTGATCTATTGGCTGGCTCATATTTTTGAAACATGTACACTTTTTTTTTTTTTTTAAGACCAAACTGGAAATTCAGAAGGCTCTTGCAGAAGACTCCACTGTGTATGAGTATGACAGTATATATGATGAAATGCAGAAAAAAAAGGAGGAAAATAATCCTAAATTGCTTTTAGGAAAAGATCGAAAGGTTGGTAGCAAAAATACAAACTTTCTTTGCTGTTGATGTGCATTTTGCATCTGATTCGTTATTTTAAGATGAGAATAATCTGAATAAAAGCTTTTAGGTATTAAGTTGTTAAAAGCCTCTAGTTCCAGATTATAGATTTGATTATGGATTTGATTTTTAGAGTCCCAGAAACTCTACAATGTATAGTATCCTAACTAGAGCCAATAAATTATCTACAGTTCTGTAAATTTGTTTTTGCTTTGAAATCTTTGCAAATAATGTTTTGAAAAGTTTTACATAGGTACTCTTAAATCCTAAAGGCTGAGGGCATGACTCAAGTGGTACAAATTGAAATTATAATACTAATAATTTTTTTTACTGTTTTAAAATTATTTTTTTCCCTTAGCCCAAGTATATTCATAACTTATTAAAAGCAGTTGAGATCAGAAAAAAGGAACAGGAAAAAAGAATGGAAAAGAAAATACAGAGAGAACGAGAAATGGAAAAAGGAGAATTTGATGATAAAGAGGCATTTGTGACATCTGCTTATAAAAAAAAACTGCAAGAGAGAGCTGAAGAGGAAGAAAGAGAAAAGAGAGCTGCTGCGCTAGAAGGTAATGGGGGAGAGGGAAAGGAAAAGGGAATCAGCAGCAGAATCTCTACCTGTTTGCTGTGTCACTGAACTTTTGAGTTACAATGTTGTAATCATAATTTATGTATATGAATTCAAGATACATGATACGTTATTATATAGTAATATAAAACAGACGTTAACTAAAAATACAGTTGAACTCTTCTTCAGTAACTATTATTTCTGTTGAACTTTTCACTTATTTCTTATTTTATTATTTAAAACTATGGTTATTACAAGTTATTGCCTTAGAACATGATTCCAAATGTGAAACCATTTCTTTTTTTGGTGGAATTGGGGTTTGAATTCAAGGCTTTGAGCTTGCAAAATAGGCACTCTACTGCTTGAGCAATGTCTCCAGTCCATTTTGCTCTGCTTATTTTGGAGATGGGGTCTTGCATCTGTTTGCCGAAGCTGGCCTTGAATCTTGATCCTCCAGACCTCAGCCTCCCAAGCAACTAGGATTATAGGCATCAGCCACTAGTGCTCGGCTAAAACCATTTCTTACAAGGTATAACACTATTAAATTTGTCAGAAACCATATAAATATAAATTTAAACCCTAATTATATTTTCTAGGATAAGAAAACCTAGCTATCACTCAAACAGCATCAGTTGAGCAGTTTGAAAAAGAATAAACTTACTTGAAGAAAGAATAAAGATGTGTGCAGGGGCTAGAGAATATCGTAATGCTTTCTACTCTTGGTCGTTCGTCAGGATCTAAGGAGAATATATGCTTATAAATAAATTGGCAAGTGGTCTTCAACTTCAAGTAGAAGAAAATCGAATCTATAAGATTCTGCCTAAGCATATACTATGTGTTCATCTAGAACACTAGATAGCAGATCCTTTTTGTAAAGGATCAAGATAGTAAATATTTTAGACTTTTTTGGGGGGACATGGTGGGTGGGACTGGGGTTTGAATTCAGGGCTTTGTGTTTTATTTTAGGCTTTTATACATCTGATCTGTATTGCAAGTACTCAACTTTACCTTTGAGTAAAAAGCTGCCATAGATAATACATAAACAAATAAGCAAGCAGCAGACCAGCCTTATAGGCTATAGTTTGTCAATCCTTAATGTAGAGAATAGTTTACATAGGTCTTTGTATGATACGTATTCTATACATGCAAAGCAAAACTGCATGTGCCTTGTTGAATGCTATTGTCTTTTCACCTTTGTTTTCCCTCTTAGCACGTTTGGATGTAACCAAGCAGAAAGATCTCAGTGGATTTTATAGACACCTTTTAAATCAAGCAGTTGGTGAAGAAGAAGTACCTAAATGCAGCTTTCGTGAAGCCAGGTGAGAAATAGAAAATGCAATATTTAGAAGAAAGATACTGTATCTGTGGTTGTAGAATTTGTGGGGTCATATTAACCTCTGAAAGATAAAGGTTAGTTACAGCATTGTATGTGGTATTGTTAGCCAACATGACCTAATTAAACGAATGGCTAGGAAATTGCCATTTCTTTTTCCTTTTTTGGGGGGCGGGGAGACTGGGGTTTGAACTCAGGGCATTATGCTTCAGAGCAGGCACACTGCTCTACCACTTACTTGAGCCCCCCCCCCACCTCTCATCCATTTTGCTCTGATTATTCTGGACATGGGGTTTTGTGAACTGTTTTCCTGGGCTGATCTTGAACCTTGATCCTCCCGATTCAGTCTCCCAAGTAGATTTCAGGTGTGAGCCACTGGTGCCTGACTGTGCTCTTTTTTAAACTAAAAGTATAGGTATCCCTCATTGCCTTGGTACCTAGCAAACATGAGGCTCTGAGTTCAAACCCCAGTGCCGCCAAAAAAAAAAAAAAGAAAACTAAGAATGTGTATCGGGGGCCTGCCTCAAGTGTTTAGAGGGCTTGCCTAGCAAGTACAAGGCTCAAAAAAAAAAAAAAAAAATTTTGAGAAATTTGGAAATACTGAGAGATCTTACAAATTCTCTATGTGTGACCAGATATATATAATGAAAGTGGCTTATTTTTAATATAGAACCCAGCTCAATAAAATATCAGATTCACATGACACTGTCCTCTCCAGTGTATAGTCACATGAACTTAAATAAAATCTAAAATTTTAGTCATGGTGGTCACCTTTCAAGTACTTAGCTCCCAGATTTGGTTGGTTAACTGCCATACTGAGCAGCTCAGATATCGACATTACCATTTTTGTAGACATTTCTATGAAACATTGCTAGTCCACAAAGCAAAGAATTCAAGGATTTTTGAATTGTAAGGTATTATAGGAATAGTACGATGGTTACATCACTGACAGTAAAAAGGAAAAATTGGGTCTGGGGATGTAGCTCAGTGGTAGAGTACTTGCCAAGCATGTTCAAAGCCTGAGTTTGATTATTAGCACTTGCAGTAGAGGAGAAGGAGAAGGAGAATTTATCCTAAAAACTATTTTTTGTTTGTTTTTAGTGAGACTCGTTTTGAACCTAGGGCTTTGTTCTGTATCTCTGGTCCATTTTTGCTCTGGATATTTGTAGATGGGGGAGTCTCAGAAACTATTTTGAACCAAAATCCTCCTACTCTCAGCCTCCCAAATAGCTAGGATTACAGGTGTGAGCCACTGGCACCCAGCTCTAAAAACTGTTTTTTAAAATAAGCATTCTGCTGGGCATAGTGGCTCACAGCTGTAATCCTGGCTACTTGGGTAGCTAAAATCAGGAGGATCATGGTTTAAGGCCAGCCTGGGCGAGACTCAAGCATGGTGGCACACAACTGTCATCCCAAGCTACATGGGAGTTGGAGATCTCGAGTATTTCAGTTCCAGGCTAACCCAGCACTAAAAGTTTGCAACCCCATCTCAATGAAGAAGCTGGGTATGGTGGCGTATGTGAAGGTGGGAAGAATAAAAAAGAGGGGCATTGGTCTAGACTGGTCTGGGAAGAAAGCAAGACCCTAACTCCAAAATACCAGAGCAAAATGTCTGGAGGTGTGACTCAAGTGGTAGAGCTAGCAAGTATAAAGCCCTGAGTTCAAATCCCAGCCAACAAAAAAAAGGAAAGAAACTCTCTGATTAGATCTGAATCTATGTTGCTTGGGAAGGGGAGGAGATAGGAGAATAGAATTAATGGTGAGGGGTTGGGGGCATGACTCAAGTGGTAGAGTGCCTACCTAGAAAGATCAAGGTCCTGAGTTCAAACCCCATTACCACCAAAAACTTTTAAGAAAGAAAAAAAAATTAATGAGGTTTATGCTCCATCCCTCTCCCTGATTGCTAGGTTTTGATTACAAAATTGATGAGAAATATGTGTCTATGAAAGTATATTTGAAGATTTAGCTTTTAAAAAGAAATCATAATACGATTATTAGCTTCATTTGGGATAGTTTTGAAGCCACTCGTGAAATTCCATTAATGTCAGTTACATAGTTGAAGTTCTCAGAGTCTCATAATGGAACTTCTAACTATTAATGGGTTCTTTTATTACTCAAGATCGTTCTGCCAGCAGCTCCAAGATAACCAAATCTGTTGCACTGTTGGTGTGAGTAGTAAATAATTAGTAAGAATGAATGTAAAATGTCAGTAAGTTAACCACACGTATTAATTGGAAAAATGAGGGTAATAAAGTAATTTTAGTGCTGTTGATTCTAACATCCAGACAGATTCACCTGTTTTCATTTTGTTGTGATGGTTGCCAAGGCACTATATCAGAATGCTGATGCTTTTCTAATCATGGAAAAGTTTAATTAGTAATGTTTAGACTGTTTAGACTTAGACTTGCTACTGTATTGCTCTGATAAAAAATTATCCTCATGTATTTTTAAAACCTTTTAATTTTTTAAAGAAAAAAAATGAGAAATTAACAAAATTACAACTTGAACTTCATGTTGTGAAAATAGAACTTAGATTTAGAACATGTCTTAGTTTTTGCAATTGTTCTTTGTCTAGGTCTAGCAAAAAATGAAGATCTTGTACTGACACCTTCCTGAAGGTTCTAGTAGTCTAATACATAAGGGCTGTTTTCTCTATTTCACTTCTACAGATATTAAAAATACTTGAATTATTTGAGAATAGTAATGTATAAGGTAAATAGACTACAGCACTTTTTTGAATTTGGATGATCAGTTGTATTGAGTAAGTTATGTCAGGTAAAGTATTGGGGAAAATTATATGAACACTTCATTTGCTTTTCACAATAAATAACGTGGCATTTTGTGTTTATATAATGTTTTTACAGGTCTGGAATAAAAGAAGAAAAGTCAAGGGGTTATTCTGATGAAGTAAATTCAGAAAACAGAATACCACAGCAGAACTGCATTCTCCAAGCTGGTGTGAAAGAGGAGGAAAACCCAGATGCTGACAGTGATTTTGATAGTAAGAGCAGCGAGGACGATGAAATGGGAGAAAATAAAGTGAACTGCAGGAGGGAAAAAGTCACAGAGATCTCCAAGAATTATTCCAAGCATCATAGGAATCAAACTCATTCACGCTCCTCTAGTGAAGAAAGAGGGCATGGTGCCAAACACCACACCAAAAGTTCCAAGTCAAGAAGACATAAGGAAAAGGAAGATAGGCACCAAGACAGGCAATCAAGAGACCAAGAGAATTATTATACTGACCGTGACCACCGAAAAGAAAAGGATTCTCATAGGCACAGAGAGGCCAGTCATAGAGATTCCTACTGGAAGAGGCATGAACAAGAAGAAGAAAAAAGGAGAAGAGGAGACCAGAGAGAAAGAAATGACCAAGAATGGAAAAGGGAGAGATATTCCTCAAGAGAACAAGAAAGAGATAGACAACGAAATGATCATGACAGATACAGTGAGAAAGGAGAAAAGGAAGAGAAAAGCAAAGAAAAGGAAGAGCATATGAGAGAAAGGAAGGAAAGATATGAAAATAATGATAAATACAGAGATAGGGAAAAACAAGAAGTAACTGTCCAATCTTCAGAAAGAAATCGAGACAGAAAGGAAAGCAGTCCAATTTCTAGGGCAAAAGATGAGTTTCTTGACCAAGAAAGACCCACCAAAATGAGAAACATGGAAGAGGACAAAAAAAGAACCCAAGAAAAACCCTCGAGTTCTGAGACATCACTGGGAACGAAACACAGGCTCCCAGAGGAGAGGCAAGAGAAGGGCAGAGAAGAAGAGAGAGAACCCAAGGCAGTGAGCAAGTTTGCAAAGCGGAACAGTGAGGAAACCCTAATGTCAGCTAGAGACAGATACTTGGCCAGGCAAATGGCACGGATTAATGCAAAGACTTACATCGAGAAAGAAGATGGTTAATGGCTATCCCAGTCTCTGGAAGCACAGAACATTGTCAGGCCTGGAACTTGCTTTTTGAAAGCTATATGAAATGTGTTAACAGTGATTGGGAGTGTATTTCTAAATATATTTTCAAAATTCATGTTTTTATTTAGGTTTCAATAAGAAGTCATTCCGTTCATCTTGAATGTTTGGCTAGATTTATAATATAAATATAATATTTCCTTGTTAATACCACATTCTTGGTTATACTCAAGAATCCTAAGTGTGTGTTAAATTCTGGCAGGTACCTAGTGAGGAAAATTGGCTCCATTACAACCATTAAAAAATAAACAACCCTCCCAGTAATGTTGCTTTTGAGTGTTTGGATTCATTTTGAGATGGGGTCTCACTCTTGCCCAAGCTGGTCCAAACTCCTGGACTTAAGTAGCCCTCCCCTCTAAGCCTCCTGAGTGGTAGAACTATAGGTCTGGCTTATAATGTTGGTCTTATTATGGGAGCTGTTTTATTTTTATAAATATTGTATTTCAAGTGAAAATATGTGAATTTGAAATGTAAAGATAATTGTTCTACTTGATGTTCTGAAATTTATATTAAACTGTAAAATGTAGATCATGCATCTTGTCTGAATAACTTTTTAGCTGACAAAATCTTAAGTCAAAATAAAAATAGTGATACACTTATACATTTAATTTATACTTTTTATTTTTAAAAGTAATTTTGAAGCTAGGGGTAATTTTGAAGACTCAGTGGTAGAGTATTTGCCTAGCATGTGCAAGGCTCTGAGGTCAATCCCTAACACCAAAAAAAAAAGGAATTTCACTAATTTATGACACAATTTCTCTTTGTTGGTTCATTTGTAATTCTTGGAAAGTTGGTAAATTGGCTATGTAGATAAATCTGTTAGCTAAAAATGGAACGATGGAGACATTTAGCCTGAATGAAATTAGATAAAGATCCAGGTGGCTTATTTCTGAATTTGTTTTATTGTTTGTATTCTAGAAAAGATAATGCAGCTTCTTACAAATTCCACTTGTATGCAAATAAAATTGGAACTTCTATACTAAGTCTTTGAAACTTAAATTTGGATGTAGAGGGTTTTTTTTTGGTACTGGGGTTTTGAACTCGGCCTCACACTTGCTAGGCAGGCGCTCTACCACTTGAGCCACTCCACCATCCCTATACCTTTGGAAATTATACACTTTAAGTTTATTCATGGGTAAAGGATAAATGCTAGGAGAAAATCTCTTAATACGTCTTCCTATAAGGATAAAGATAAATGTAGTTTAGTAAGAATGGTAGCCTTTAGATGAAAGAAATTATATTTTGAGTCAGATTTTATATAAATCATTTTCCAGAAAGAAAAAGTAACAAAGGTCTCTGTCTAACATATTAAATATCAGTTAACATCCTAATGCTATAGAGGAGATCAGTGACGAACCCTAAAATGCACTGACTTACACAGAGGGGAAAGCAGCGTAAAGTACGGAAAGCAGTATAAAGTACAGAAAGCAAAATAAGTTAGGGTAAGACCATGGAAGACTCAGAGTGATCTAAAATCTCCAACTTTGGTAGACAATATGGTTCCTTTGTTAGGATTGCATTGTAACTAAAGCCATGCATTTGGAAAATTAATTTGATTGTGGTATGCAAGATAGTCTAGTGAGGGGGAGATTGTGTCAAAGAAATCTGATCAGAAACCATCAATTTCTTTCTCCCAGAAGTTCAGTTTAAAGCAGCTTGGATACTTTGATAGGAAAAGCTGTAGATTCTTTTATTAATCTATTTAGTTTGATGACGTAGATCAGTGAGAAACTGTAAATTAAGAATTTTGAGTATGCCAGGTGAGGGTGGCTTATGCCTGTAATTCTAGCTATTTGGGAGACAGATCAGGAGGATCAAGGTTCAAGACTAGTCTGGGCAAATAGTTCGCAAGACTAAAGTAATCAGAACAAAATGGACTGGAGATGTGGCTCAAGAGGCCTTCCAAGCATGAAACCCTAAGTTCAAACCCCATTCCCACGGCAGGGAAAAATTGGACAAGCACAAACCCTTGAGTTCAAACTCCAGTATCACAAAAAAGGAAAGAAAAAAATGTTCTTCCCTCAGATACACAGATGTCTTTGTCTTTCTGGTATTCATTCCCCCATTTTCGGGGAGGGGTCTGATTTACTCTCGGAAAAGTACCCTTTCACTACTCTTAATCCAGAGGTTCAAGTGAGGCAGAATACCCCCCAGGAAGAGTGTGACTCAAGCTAGGTGGATCCTGTAGCTATTAGAGCTTACTGAAAGATGTTTTTCACTATCGTTGCTGACTTTGAAGATGAGGTGAGTCTGGAGTTGGCATGGGGAGAGTGCCTGGCAGCCACATAAAAGCAGAAACAAGGGATGGAAAGAAGGACCATGACCTGATTGCTTTTCAAGTCTATGGTGTAGCTTTTTTTAGGATATTTAAACCAGTACTTTTCCTTTTTCTCTTAGGTTGGTTGGTTTGAAGTAGATTTCTACCACTACAAAAACAAAACAGCCTGGATTTTTTCTGTTGTTTCTTTTTATTTTTGAGATGTCTCACTAGTAAGGCTGCCCTGGAACTCACTATGTAGCCCAGGTTGGCCTCAAACTTGTGATCATCCTGCGTCTGCCTTCCAAGAGCTGAGATTAAAGGTGTGTACCACTTTTAATCTCTGCTAAAAAAGGCTCTGTTTGAAACAGCTCCATGCAAAAATTATCAAACACTTTTCCCCTCCTGTTTTATTTTTAAGTGGGTTTCATTATGACATTTTCATACATGCATACAATGTACTTTAATCATGTCCCCTTCCCACTGCTCCCTCATTCACATAGTCCCATTTACACATTCATGTAAAAACAGGGAATGCTTTACAAATTTGCGTTCTGTCACCCTTGCACGGGGACCATCCAGGCTAGTCTGTCATGTACTGCTGAAGCGAGAATTCAGGAACTTTGCTTTTGGAGACAGGGTCTTACTATGTAACCCATGCTGGCCTAGAATCCGTTGTCCTGCCTGAGTCTCCTGAGTGTTCAGAGCACTCTTAATAGACTTTTTTGGGTATGAAAGTGTTTCATAATGACTTCGATACATGTGTATGATATGCTAATATTTACTCCCCATTACCCTCTCGTTACCCCCCCTTTCCCTTTCCACTGGTCCTCCTCCTCATATAGTTCCCCTTCTCATCGATGTCTGCATGGGAGAGTAAACATATTTATCTCTCTGAGTCTGGCTTACTTCACGCAACATGATGCTGTCCAGTTCCATCCATTGTCCTGCAGTTGACATAATTTCGTTCTTTGTGACTGAATAAAATTCCATTGTGTGTATATATCACACTTTATCAACTCATCTGTTGATGGGGACCTAGGCTAATTCCATAACTGTTGTGTATAGTAATAGACAGGGATGTGCAGGTATCTCTACTGTATGCCACCTTAGATTCTTTTGGGTAAGTACCCAATAGTGGTATAACAGAATCATATGGTGGTTATATATATACATATTTTTTTGAGGAACCTGTGTACTGATTTCCATATAGCTGGACAAATTTAATAATCCCTTGAACAAATATATAAGGTTTCCTTTTTCCCTGCATCCTTGGCAGCATTTGTTTTCTCCATGATAACTATTTTCACCCTACTGAAATGGAATCTCAAATGTAGTTTTGTGTTGGTAGGTTTTTTGGGGGAATTTTTTTGTTTTTTAGGGGGACGAGTTTGAATTTTGGACTCTGCTTGTAAAGCAGGTACTCTGCCACACCTCCAGTCCATTTTGCTCTTGTTATTTTGGAGATGCTCAGTGTAATTTTGATTTGAATGTCCTTTATGGCTAAAGATGCACGTTGAACATATTTCCATGTATTTATTGACTGTTGTAATATGTGTGTGGTTTCAAACTTTCAAGTCTTACATTAAGGGCTTTGATACATTTCAAATTGAATTTTTGTCTGAGGTTGGGACTGGAGTTTGAACTCAGGGTTTCACTCTTACAAAGCAGATGCTCTACCCCTTAAGCCATACCTTCCGTCTATTTTTGCTCTGGTTATTTTTGGATATGGGGTCTTGCGAAGTATTTTCCCAGGCTGGCTTCTAAACTCAATCCTACTGATTGTCAGTCTCCCAAGTAGCTAGGTTTAGAGGCATGAGCCACCAACACCCAGCTTGTACTTCTTTTAAGAACTCTTAATTCATTTGACCATTTTCAATTAGATAAGTGCCCAGTTTAAGAGGAGTTTTGTTTTTTTTCCCTGTGGTACTGGAGTTTGAACTCAGAGCCTTATTTATGCTTGCTAGGCAGGTGCTCTACCACTGAGCTACACCAGCACCCACCTCACTGATTTTTTTTTTTAATGAAGACACACAGAGCCAGCACCTGGCTTGTGTTAAATTCTTACTGTATTAAGAAGATGTCTTAGGGATTGGGGTGTAGCTCAATAGTAGAATACATGGCTAGCAAGCAAGTAGGAGACCTGGAATTCCATCTCCAGCACCACAAAAAATAATAATAAAAAAGAAATCCTAGTCCTTTCAAGCTGTTAGACTAGAATACCTGAGACTAAGTGATTTGTAAAAACTAAAAATGTGTTTCTCTCAGTCTGGAGGCTGAGAAGTCTAAGAGCAAGGAACTGGCAAGTTTAGTGTTTGGTGAGGGCCTGCTCCATCTGTCATCTGTAGTGTCTTCTGGGGGGAGGTATTTTTACATGCCAGAAGGTGAAGAAGCAATAAAATGTCCTAAGCTAGTTCCCTCTAGTCCCTTTTCAAGGAAGAGCCCTTGTGACTTAATCACTTCCCAAAATTCCAGTCAACCTCTTTGAACCTCAGGTACTCATCTGCAAACCTGGGAAAATAACATCTGTCACTTAGTCCCTGGTGAACAAATGAGACTGTATATGTTAAAGTACATTATAAAATAAAGCTTCACAGATTGTGAAGAATTGTAATAACAATTAGCTTTATTGAAATTTAATATTTTGGGGTGTGGTACAAGCCTGTAATTGATTTCTATTTCAAGGCCAGCCTGAGCTATGTAGCAAGACCCTGTCTCAATTTTTTAAAACTTAAAGATCAGTATTTAAACCTTAAGAGTCTTTTTTTTTTTTCCCCAGTACTGGGGTTTGAATTCAGGGCCTCATCCTTGTACAGGCACTCTACCACTTGAGTCACTCCATCAGCCCTTTTTTGCGTTGGGTATTTTCAAGATAGGGTCTTGGGAACTATTTGCCTGGGCTGGCCTATAACCTGGATCTTCCTGATCTCTGCCTCCTGACTAGCTAGGATTACAGGCATGAGCCACCGAGCATGGATTTTTATTTGGTTGGTTTGGATTTTTGAGACAGGGTCTCACTCTGTAGCCCAAGATGGCCTCAAACTCAAAATCTTCCTGTCTCAGCCTCCTGAATACTGGGATTACATATCTATGCCCCCATACTCTGCAAAATTTGGAATTTTTTGAGACCGAACAAATCTCTCATGCTATTAAGAGTTATTACAGTAACAGTTCACAGCAGATACCATTCATTAATATCTAACAATCTAATTTGAAACATAACTAAGCTGCATAA